AATGAACAGCTTGTTAGCGGTAATCGCTACATTTGGTGTCAGAAGTGGAGCTCCGTTCCGGCCGACGTTTTCCCCGAAACATGGAATCCACTTCCCAAGGTGAACACACCGCAAGTGTCAGCGCCGGAAATCTGGCTGCCTCGGACCCACCAGCTTCCCAACTCGTAGCCCTTATAACCAACCACCTCCAGCATGCCGAAGCCTCTTACGCACGGCGGGAGAGTCAGCTTCTGCAAAGCGCAACCTCTTCCTTTCGGGAATTGACAGAATCTCTCACCCAACGCCTCCAGCGTCTAGAGGACCGATTGCCTGACCCCATGGAGCCCCGTGTCGTTGACGCTCCAGCCCAAACCCCCTTGGGGCGCCAGAGCCTGCGACTGAAACCATCCACATACAACGGTACCGCTCCTTGGCCCTCCTACATATCGCAATTTAACCTCATCGCTGACGCGAACCATTGGTCAGAGGCCCAAAAGGCTCAAGCCTTGGCCGCCCATCTCGCCGGACCAGCATTTGACCCTATTGCATCATTTGGCACCTGAAAAACGTCAATCCTACCAGGCTTTGATCGCGGCATTGGACGAGCGCTTTGGGGAAGGGCCGCTTCGGTTCCTTCATCATGCACAACTTCGCAACCGTCGTCAGTCTGCGCTGGAGACCATCTCCGACCTCGCGGATGACATTGAACGCCTCGCACGTCTTGCGTTCCCAGGCTGCCCAGAGGACACGGTGGAGGCTGTCGCTACCATGGCATTTATCGACGCCATCTCTTCTGTTGAGGTACAGGATGCGGTTCGCCTTGCACGCCCTAAGACTCTGCGGGTAGCACACACTTGTGCCTTGGAGGTACAGGCTGCCCGACAGGCATCTCGATCCACGCGTGTAGAGTCCTTCATGCAACCGCAAACTCCAGCTATAAAGACGCCAACACCTCCAGCTCCAATTTGCTGGAATTGCCACCAGCAAGGTCACACGCGGTCGCAGTGCCGAAACCATGACCTTGACTCTGGTAGCCGGACCTCAACGACAATGGCTCCAAAAAGAATTACGTCAACTCGCGTCTTGGCTTCATCTTTGACTTCCATCTACCTCCAAGGCGTCGTAGACGGGGTACCAGTGCGTGCACTTGTCGATACCGGCGCAACAACCTCTGTAATCCGGCCAGAAGTTCTGGTGAAAGCAAACCGAGTTGTCCCAGCAAACTCCGGTGGCTATGCTCTACAGACCGCAACAGGGGAGACGGTAGCTGTACTCGGCTACACTACCGTGCCTTTCACCGTGGGAAGCCTTCAAGCTGCTTTGCCCGTTGTCGTCGCGGCTGTCGAGGAGAAGTGCATTCTTGGCGTTGACTTTCTCAAAGCACACAAATGCGTGCTTGACTTCAATGCCGGATTGCTGCACTTGGGAACCGACTCGTTTCCCCTGGGTGCTGCCACAGTGACGGTTCTTGGCGACAGTGGACTCCCAATAAATGCCGAGTTCCCGTGTCCGTGTCTCCACGTATTACAAACCAAGTTGGACCCACACATGTTACCTCTCTACGAGGGCGCGACTGTTGGCCTCGTAGAGCGGGTAAGCTTCATCAGCTACTTAAAAGATTTACAAAGCTTTTCAGCACGGGAGACAGTGATATGGGCTTGTCATCAGCAGCAACACACCACATTGTGACAGGACAGGCTACCCCTGTACGACAGTCACCTTGACAAGTTCCCCTTGCACAGCAGTCATCTGTTAACGACATGATAAAGACCATGCTACAGCAGGGCGTGATTGAACCCGCGTGTTCCCCTTGGTCTTCACCAGTCACACTGGTGAAGAAAAAGGACGGGTCAGCACGTTTTTGCGTGGATATTATCGACGACTTAATGATGTCACCAAAAAGGACTCCTTTCCTTTGCCTCGAACTGACGATATCTTGGACGCTCTCGCAGGCAGCGAGTGGTTTTCTACGCTTGACCTTAAGAGTGGATATTGGCAGGTTCCCGTACACCCGGATGACCGAGAAAAGACTGCCTTCACTACAGGTCATGGCTCATTTCAATTCCGAGTAATGCCATTCGGGCTCTGCAACGCCCCGGCTACATTCCAGAGACTAATGGAATCTGTGCTGCATGGTCTCATAGGCACAGTTTGTCTTGTATACCTCGACGACATTGTGGTATTGGGCAAGACATTTTCCGATCACCTGGCGAACCTCGAGCTTGTGCTTGCACGACTTCAAAAGGCAAACCAAAAGCTTACTCCAAAGAAATGTTCGCTGTGCACAAAGCAGGTTGAGTACCTCGGGCACATCATTTCGACGGACGGAGTTTCCACAGATCCTCGGAAACTCTCTGCTATTGCCGAGTGGCCAACCCCAAGATCCACCGCTGACGTTCAAAGCTTCATTGGGCTGGCATCCTACTACCGAAGATTCGTCCCTAGTTTCGCCCACATCACCAAGCCTTTGTATATCCTGACAGAAAAGAAAGCTCCGTTTGTGTGGTCCCCAGAATGCCAACTGGCCTTCGAGACACTCAAAACGGCCCTCACATCTCCACCAACTCTTGCCTTCCCAAAAGACACAACACCATTCATCCTTGACACCGACGCTAGCGCCTCGGCAGCCGGTGCTGTACTATCGCAACAACAAGATGGGCATGAGCGAGTCATTGCGTATTATAGTAAGGTTTTTACGAAGCCAGAACGCAACTACTGCACCACCCGACGCGAACTTTTGGCCATCATCAAGGCCATAACCCATTTCCATCATTATCTTCTGGGACGGAAATTCATTATCCGAACCGACCACGCATCATTGACTTGGATGTTGAGTTTTAAAACCCCTGATGGAGAGGTCGCCCAAAGGCTGGAACGCCTTCACCAATACAACTTCGAGATACAGCATCGCCCCGGCTCACACCACACCAATGCCGACGGCCTTTCGCGTCGACCATGCGGTGAGAAGTCGTGCAAGCAGTGCACAAGCATTGAAAAACGCAGCTGCATCTCACTCAAAACAATTCCTTGTGGCAACGAAATGTGGACACCGGAAAGTCTTCGGGCAGCTCAACTTGACGATCCAGACATCGGCCTGCTTATACAATGGAAAACGAAGAATAGACGACCTCAAGGCAAGGAGGTATCCAGCTTATCTCCTATTCTTAAGGGCTACTTGGTGCAATGGGACTCTTTGTACCTTCGCGACAACGTTCTCCATCGACGCTGGGAGTCCGCTGCGGGTGGCTCTGTCGTCTGGCAACTGGTACTGCCACACACACACTGCTCCCACGCATTTCAACAACTGCACAGTAGTCCAGAAGGAGGACACTTCGGCGTGAATCGCACGATAAAGAAGATTCGCCAACGTTTCTACTGGCTGCAGTGCCACAGTGACGTGAAGCAGTGGTGTCGACAGTGCGACATGTGCGCCTCCCGTAAAGGACCTCACGCCAAACAGCGAGCACCGCTTCAAGAGCATGTGACGGGGGCGCCTTTTGAGCGCGTTGGCATTGACGTGCTAGGCCCACTTCCCCGATCCAAATTTGGTAACAGGTTTTTGCTAGTCATTGTTGACTACTTTACAAAGTGGCCGGAGGTTATTCCAATTCCAAACCAGACCACCCCTGAAATTGCTGACGCACTGGTGAAGAATTGGATCACCAGGTACGGGGCGCCCCTGAGCATTCACTCGGATCAAGGCAGGAGCTTTGGATCTCACGTATTTCAAGGAGAAGTTTGCAAGATCTTCAACATCGCCAAGACGAGGACCACACCTTTCCACCCGCAGTCAAACGGCTTGGTAGAAAGAATGAACCGAACCATCTTACAACATCTGTCGATATTTGTAAATGATCATCAAGATGACTGGGACAGCATCGTGCACCTATTTTTGTACGCATACCGTACAGCAGCTCACGAGGTCACCGGTTACACGCCAGCGATGATGCTGCTTGGCCATGACCTTCGTATGCCCTGTGAACTAACCATCCCACGAGCATCAGAACCGGCCACAGACCCTGTGTCTTTCGTGAGCAAACTGAGAACAAATCTCGAGCGAATGCACGCATTTGCTCGACAACGGCTGTCAAGCGGCCTCGCTCGCATGAAGAGCCAGTATGACGCACACGTCACATCACGCCCTTTTTCACCAGGCGACAGGGTATGGTTGTATAACCCGGTTCGGAAGCGAGGACTGTCCCCAAAGCTTCAGCGTCACTGGCAAGGACCTTTTACAATCGTGAAACGGCTCAGTGACGTGGTCTATCGCATACGTCAAAACGATCGATCCCGGGCTCTCGTGGTTCACCGTGATCGACTGTCGTTGTATGAAGGACTTGGTTAAACTTGGATAAAATTCCAGAAGACGGGAGGGGGATAATGTAGCGAAGCTGATGTCGCGGAAAAGAAGACAACAAGGAGAACAACACGGAGTGCTCGCGCCAGTTGGAAGCCTCCGAGCAAAGCAAGCGGACGTCCAGTAAATGAACAGCTTGTTAGCGGTAATCGCTACAATATGCACTGGTCCAAACCTACTCGCCCGATGAACAAGATGAGGGGCTTTTGGTTTCCGACATTTATCGAGAACACCGGTAAACATACTCTAAATCTATATTTTTTTGTGGATTGGCAGGAAAACACTAGACTTGAAAGACCTAACTATTCTTTTTTACATATTTACTTTTTACTCCAAATGAGAGATCACTATCAAGTGGCAAACACGCGAGGCAGAGGTTCAGGCAGATCACTTCTATTGAAATGAGTAGCGAAAACGGGCATCACCTGCCAGTGAAAGTGCAAAGTACGGGAAGCGGAAGTAGAAAGTCACAAATACTACCCGAAATTTCTTTTTTGCCCGTTTGCGCACCCTTTCACCCTTTTACGTGCTGGAGTTGCAACTACGAGGAACTGACACCAATTGAAAAGGCCAACATCTTGCCAGGTAAATAACTGCCAGTTCGTCGTGTCGAATCCCAACGCAAGCATAAGAATGTGCTCATGCCGAGGTCCCTTCAGCTCACCATGCAAGCGTGACGAGCCTCGCCGACACTGGGATCCAATTCCAAGACGCGCTGGTAGTCTTTGAGCGAGTCATCCAAGTTGTCCAGTTCTTTGTGAAGCTGGGCCCTCTTCAGCACAGGTTTCAGGTAGGTGGGGTTCAGCTCAATGGCTGGCAACAAACAGCAGTGTTAAAAAAAAATTAAAAAGAAAAAGGAAATTTTTTTTTCCTTTTAAAAAGTGTGATTTGGGGTTTTAGTGTTTTATTATTTTTAAACTTTCATGCATACTCAAACAAAAACAGGACCGGATATAATCACAAATTTGGTGAGAAACGCTCCTGCAGGCGACCCAAAAAGGCATCAAATTGGAACCATTTTCGCGCGCGCCGTTTTTCCAACTGTGTTGTCACCTACCATCGCTTTTATTTTCGGTAGAAGGCCTAGCAGTCTTCTCTCCATCGCATTCTTTGGCAGTTTCTAGAGGCTCCTGTGCATTGAACCAACTGGCATCCTTATTTGGGATAATCACCTGATTGGGCCTCGCACTACTTATGTCACCTATGCTTAGCAATTTTCTTTGTGTACTCCTAATAATAAGAATAAAAAAATCCTTTTGACATTCAAAATTGACTAGATTCAACGCCGCAAGACAATCGAAAATGTCAGATTCATGCCACCACCGCTAAGGTATGCGTCTTTTACCTTTTTCTTTTTTTTTTTTGAAATTAGTGATAAGGCGTCTCTTGGCTCACGCTCTTAGCATCTCAGTTTTGACCTCTGCTTTGATGGCATTCAAATTCTTGTTGTTTCTTTGCGTTTTCCTAATGATTGCGTTCCGCACCAGAGCAGGCACGCTTCTATATACTGTAAACAACTTCATTTTCGCAAATCACCTACAATTCACGAAAAATAGGTCCCGCAAACAAGTCCGGTAAAATGTAAACACATTGAAACCTATATTGAGATCCCACCGCGTCGCGAAAATTAGAACCCGCAAATTATTCCAAAACTAAAGCTTTGACTTAAATCGAGAAATATTGAGCCCGCAAAAAATAAGCCATTTGCAGTATACAACAGTTTTAGACACTCAAGTTTGTGCCACCCAAAACAAGTCCTAACAAGTCCCTTTTTGGTAGCATCCCCTAGGCAAAACAGGAGGCCTACTTCTCACAAAAAATAACCAAAATATATTTTCCCTGCCATGAAAGAATGTTCTTGCACATCTACAGTAATATTAAAAGGAGTTTTTCTCCTTTGGCAATTTTGGGTCATCTGTGCAATTTGTGCCTAATATTGTCCTTTGACCACCAAATTTGGCAAGCATATCCTTTAGGATACATAGAATGCAACTATTAAGTTGGTCACAATGGTTTCATTTATAGTTAAGAAAATTTTAAGAAATATTTTGTTGGCCCTTTAAAAATGGCATTTTTGTGATTTTTGTTGTTCATTGCACTCAGTGGTTCACAAAAAACAGATCAGCTTATTTTATGTAATTTCATTAGATTTTTTATGTCCTAGGGTGCCTACATGTTTCCGCCGCTCCGCTGTTTAGGGTGGTGACAACGTTTGTGATACCTGTTGCCAACAAACCAGTGTAGCCTACCTCGTTACCATGGCAAACTCCGCTGTTTTCGTCAACCATTTGGTCACACTCGCCGATCGTGCGCTCGGACTACGCCGCTGATCCTCGTTGGGGCTAGGGAGCGCTCACCGCTCTCGTTCCGACAGCGAGGTTTCAGCGTTCAATGCCGGTCTGTTGCGTTCCATTTTGTCGCGGGAACTCGCGTTTCGATAAAGGCAACGCACATTTCCTGCTCGCAACTTCAAAATATGAAACACCCGAATAAAGAGAGTGACAGCCTCCGACTCCTCTTATGAACAGAAACGGAAGTGGCCTCAAAGTGTTGCCGGTGTGTCAAAACTACAGAAACTCAACGTTGTGTATGTTTAGCGAAATAAGAAGTGGGAAAAAATGGCGGTGCGAGAGGATCTGGGTAAGGTTAATAAGAACTTGGCGCCACCCTAAAGCGGAGTGGAAACATGTAGGCGCCCTATTATGTCCCACATGTGAACACAAAAACACAATTTTTTTTGTTTTGTGCATGGGCATAAAAAAATTAGCTACTTCAACAAACGCCCGACGTGCAACATAGAGATAACAGCAAGTTATCCCCTATCGCCCGCACCGACAAACTCGACTACCACCATGACTGAAGCCTGTCTTCATCTCACCCTGCCACAAGTGCTCATGTATCCTAATGCTTTTTTAATTTCAATGTTCACGTTACATCTGTGTTATGCTACTGATGACTTATCATGCTGTTCAATTTATGATGGTTCGTTTATTGGCTTTACTACTTTGTTACTGTGTACTTATGAATCTATTCAACTCATGATGTTTCATTCTTTCTGTACTACCAGTGTTCGAGTGTTGCCTTGGCATCCGTACAGACGGCTAGCAAGTCCTTAAATAAATAAACATGAAGGAGATTAATCCCTGTAAATAGCAAAATTTTAATTCTATTGTGAATATGAAAAACAAAAAAAAAAATTGCTCTTTTTTCCTGTGGCACGTACTTTCTTAATCTGTCAGCCCTGAATGTTCTTTAAAGTGGCAGTGCAACAATTTTCGGACTTTGGCCAATTCACTGCGGGAAACTCAAAGGGACGACCAGGTGGATGCCGGCGGTGTTGCTGGGATGTCGTCGGGGGCTCCAGCGCTCCCTCTGCGACTGTTCCAAGGCCCAGTTTGGACACAACAGGGCACCCAGCATTGCCCAAGTGGAGACAAGAGAGAGAATGTAGGTCCAGACACTTCAGGGAACAAACCCAGTTCGCCTCAGGGAAGACGGTGGGGGAGGGTACCGGCAGAGGGGGTGGTTTAGTTCACTTTGAATAGATAACGCCACGAAAAGTTGCACTTCCCCAGACATGACACTGTGCCTCCCACGACCGCCACCCACAGCTACAGATCTGGAAATAATTTGGTTTTTATTATGAGATTACGCAGCAGAAGTATTTTGAGGGAAGGTAGCGTGTTTTCTCTCACTTGTATTATGATAAATATAAAAAATACAAGCTACAAGTTTGAAAATTGTTGCACTGCCTCTTAAATGAATGACCGTGCGTTGTCAAAACTGCCTCTGCCCCTGTGTTTTCAAGAAAATAAAAATAAATACAATTCTTACCTCTTGTGCAATCCTTTACTGCAAACTTGTTTTTCTCCTTCGAAAGCCGAGAAAAGAAAAAGGTCAATCAGATCTTGCAGTAGCATTGTGAAACGTTTGCATTCAGGCCGAGAATGCGAAGGGGGAAAGAAAAATCTTCACCTTCCGATGCTCAAAGCATTTTAGTAGGGCCAGACAGGGTGGTGCTAATGGTAATAGACAATGTGCAGGTCATTTTTCTACATGATCCCATTTCACAAAGTGCCATCTGCATGATGCAATGGACATGTGCCACATCATTCCCCACTTCAGGCACTGCGCGGGACATACCTACTAGAGATGTTGCGAACCAACCAAGGTTTCACTTCAAAAATTTCCGCAATCCTCGCCAGGGTTTAAATTCACAATGTTTGAAGGTTTGAGTCGACTGTTTCAACCTTTTCAAGATAGCCAAACTCCAAGGCTTCATACTGGTTTGCAATTCAAGTTCATAGAGTTTAAAATTTTCTAACCTTATACAGATCTTAGCTTGACGGTTTCACATCTCAAGTTGTCGTGAATTCAAAATTTGAGCTTAAAACCTCGGAAAATAGCCTACAGAGCTAAAAAAAAAAGAATACAAACACTACACCTAAAATGTCTCGATAGTCAAATCGGTGCTTGACAATGGGACTGTTGGTTCAAAGAACTCATTGTAGTATGTGTTTTGTCTTTTTTTAGACATAGTCAAAAGAAAGTGGGTTTTGCAATATTTTTCAGGACAGGGGTCACAGACACGCGGCACATCAGCTATCTATTTGCTTCCGTTTCAACTATCATGTCTTCGTTGCTCCACTTGTTGGTGATGTGTGCAAATATCCCCTCGATTATGAGAATGGGCAATATACAGGCACTGAGATAAACATCCTGCTTCCTTACAAATTAATGCCAATCTCACACAACTATGACAAAATGTGATGTTTACAAGCAATAAAAGAATACTCAGGCATTTCATTGAGGTAGAGAGGCGTTGATTTATGTAAAGCATTTTTCGCGAGCTTTCAACGCTGTCCCGGCAACTAACTCGGGTCCCCTAAAAGCATCTCCTGCAGGTGCAGCCTACCAGGCAAGAGGGACGCCCAAGTTGCGCTACATACATCTGAGATGGAAGCATCATTTGGTTTTGTAATAAACCTTCACCATTTCCCTTAAAATCGGTATTACACGAGGGAAGCAGCTGTTTGCACCCAAGACATTATTTGTCATGCAGTGTGCACACTCGTATGACTGCGCATTGACTTGAGCCATCAAAGCATTTCAACGACCTAGGAATCTTGGATATGGTTCGTGTAAAACATTTGCAGCTTTGAAAGTTTAAAAGTTACCAAATTTCTCAATAAAAAGACATGACAATTTGAATTAAGCTAAAAAGGAATCAACTCCCAGCATTTTAGGGTTGGGAAATGAGAAGAGAGCTATTCTAGGTAGCAAATGGCTTTGAGATAACATAACCATTGCCACTCCTACACATACAGGTGTAGGAGTAAGGTCAAGGGAGGGGGGCACAAAGGCTTTCTACTGGGGCTTGCTGTCCCACAGAGCCACAAGGTTGTGAAACAGTATCAAATTTTGTGCCCTGCAGTCAAGTGAACACCCTATCTGACCTGGAAACTAATCTCTAGAATGATCAATTCAAAGTAAATTTTATAGCATGCCACAAAGACGTAGGTAAGACCCAAATCCTAGAACACCTACAAAACTTTCCTTTCGAATGAGAGAAACTAAGTGATTTTGTGCAGCTCTGCTGTTTTGCTGCCTCAATGTCTTGTAGCCCAGGCGAAAATTTTCAACTGGGACCAGTTGGTCCCAGTTGCAACTGGTTTATGGAACAATTCCCAGTTGCAACTGGTCCCAGTTGGAGTCGTCCAACTGGGTCCAGTTGGTCCCAGTTGCAACTGGGTTATGGTACAATTCCCAGTTGGAGTTGGTCCCAGTTACAACTGGTCCCAGTTGGAGTTGGTACCAACTCCAGCAACAATGAAACACGGCACAAAATGGAAGGTTGACAAGACTTTATTGTCAAAAACTTGGAGAATGAAACTAAATAGGTTCGGTGACGTACACGCTCCGGGTTTAGCCACTTGCTTGCGACGGTTGAATCACTTTTTCAGAGGTGATATTCATGAGATGAAGGAAGATCGGCCGCTGGCGTCTGTTAGTGAAGACGTCCTCAGCTTCTCTTCCCATCGCGTGAAGAAAGGTGCTCACCCGTGATCCTGCGTTGCGCAGGTGAAGTCCTGATAAGATGCGGTAGCGCTCCCACCTTGCAATCTCTGTCACAACAGTCGAACATTTTCGAGGTAGACCTCCCGCCATTTTCACCATTGTGCTCTCCGCGGCGTGTTCTCTTCCGTCCGGTCCATGTGCGTCCGGTCTTTCCTGGGTGCCCTCCGATCGCTGAACTGCATCTTTCCATCCTCAAAGTTCACCGCCGCCACCTTGGTGTGTGTACAGTTAGGTCCAAAGAAGCGCAGCTGTAGTTCTGACATTTTCATAACGACGCCAACTTGGGCGATGGCGACCCTTCTCTACCGCGTCCGTCCGACTCCGGATGGATGGATGGATGAATACGGCTGAGCCCTTTGGATCGGGCGGTAGCTTACGCCACCTAGCCATTTTGTTTTACCATTTAAGCTTGGAATATTTAAATGTGAAATCTATATTCACTCCGCAGTGCAAAGAAAGTGAGGCTATGAAACCCCCTTGCCATCAGTGGATAAGAATCCGGCGTCAGCATAGGCAGCGCCATCTGTCGACAGCGCGTACCACTAATCCGCACCCGCGTGCCACGGCGGCCGGCTAGCTCTGATTAGTCAAAAGATAAATTTATTTATTAAAAGAAAAAAAAAATAATGTGGGTATTTAAATAAATGTTTTAATATATTTTAATAATGCACTAAATGTTCATTTAGGTGAACACATTTTGTCACTAATTATATTTTCCAATTGAAAAATTATTTAGTTAATTAAAATGTTTATATTATTTTTATAAATATATAAATGTACCCCAGTAATTAAAAATTCTATATTTGTATAAATCTAAAAATATTAGTGTTTTTAGTTTTCTTCATTAGCAAAGGTCAATACACCCCCAACTTGTCCAAATTGTTGCCCAGTGTGAACTGGGAACGGGAAAGGCATTTGAAGTCCGACTGGGAATCGCTCCAACCAGTTACTTTCCTAACTGGTTCCAGTTCACTCCATTCCCAACTGGGAGTCAAACCAGTTGACTCCCAACTGGGAAAGGTTCAAACCAGTTGACCCCTCAGCTGGCCCCAGTTGGACTCCTATTGGTCCCAGTTGATTCCCAGTTGGGACCAGTTAGTCCCAGTTGATTCCCAGTTGGGACCAGTTAGTCCCAGTTGAAACCAGTTGAGGTGCCAACTGGTCCCAGTTAGAAATTTTCGCCTGGGAGGTGGTCAAGGATGCATGAAGGTGTGCCCAAGAGCTTCTGTAATTGATTGCCACCATCAAATTATGATGGGAGATATTATTATTAGCCAAATCCTCTCAAATCAAGGATTCTTACAACAAAAGAATGAGCATACGAGAGAAAAAAAAAGGGGGGAAATTAAGCTCCACTTTATATTCACCGATAGGATAAGAATGGCAGGGAGGTCTTTCGGTTGTGCTTCCTCGAGCGTGGGCTCCTTACCTTCGATAACACTCTGGTGTCTTGCGAGTTTCATGCGTGCATGCATAGCCAAAGCACAATGAACATGAATGCTGGAGAATAGGCATGTGAAAGGTACGCCCTGCTCTTCTTGTCAGTGACTGTGGACCATTCTAATCTGTTGCTAATCTTTCCAGCAGTTACAGAGGCCTAGCAGATGGGTAGAACACCACGCTTATGATGCTAGCTCCTCTCTTCCTCGGCTCATTGAAAAAAGCTGCTGCTAATCTATGACGAGTGGTGCAACCGGGGAGGCGTGGTCAGAAGACATTATTTCCCATAGCCTCCTGCTACCCGAGAGAAACAATTTCATTTTCAGTAAAGACAGATGTTTACAAGAAATGGACCTTTTGTAGAAACATCGGTTCGAGAGCAAAGGGTTCCAGTACCCTCTCTCTCTTCCTTCTGGCCGAGCAGAGAGGGAAGATGGTTTCCTTGTGTCGACTTTGGGGCGGAAGATTACCCACGATGGGGGCAAAGGCGATTTTCGGGGAGCCGTATCTAGGTCACAGCGCCTCAATGGGTGAACAAGATGTAGCTGACGTTTTGGGTGTGGAATGGGTGGGAGAGGCCTTGCGCACGCCTTGTTTTCTCGCCGCTTAGCCTTGAACCCAGTCGCGTGTCTAGGTGGCAGCACATATTCGCCGAGAGGTCCATTGAGTGTTTTGCCACACCAGGTGTGGGCACTGTGCAGAAACCAGATTTGCATCAAGTGAAGCTGCGTCATGCAAACACAGCGCTACTGCAGGGGCACGATGTCAGGGCCACGTGTTGGTGCATGGATGTCACAAAGAAGCCGTACAGTCATGCCTCATAGTTATGGACCCCGTTATTATGAACACACTGCCATTTGCAGCTCCAGCCCGGAGAACAAGAACGGCAGGCCAGGCGGCGAGGAGCGTCAGGCACGGCGTTGCCATTACCGCAGGGTTCCATTTGGCATGCTTGTGCATTGTGCAGTTATAACGGAAAAAGCAAGTGCGTTAAAGCATATAATAGCTGCGTTCAATTTACCTGCACCGGTGCAGTAAACTGTAGGGCGGTGTACTTCCCGCCGTATCTCAATACACATAATGGAAGTACACTGCCCTACAGTTTTCTGCACCGGTACAGAAGGCGAAGGTAAATCGAATGAGGCAATTGGTGTGTTCCGCCCTGCAATAGCTTTGCCCGAAAGAATCGGGATGTCCGATTTGACATTTCGTAGGTTGTATGCAGCAAATTGAGCTCAATCCTTGCACAACTTGAGCACACAAACTCCCGCTGGCAGTGCACGGCTCTTGTGTACAATTTACAAAAAGTTCCTATTCTTTCTCTAATGCAGGGGAGAACTGCACGGGCAGCGGTCTTTCGAGCGATAGATGTCGGGCAATGGCTTTGCCTTTTACGCATTGGAAAGCCCTTTGCTCTAAACCCTTTCAAAAGACTAGTGCTTGTTTCCAGATAATAGCAAAGACAAAAAAAGAAATGCCTGCTGCATTTTTAAGCCCGTCTGCAGTGGCGAGCCATTTGTGACGAGTCCTTAGAATGGGCACTTTTAGCGAGGCAGATTGCGGGGCTCCAAATAACAAGCACACGGACGTTGTATATTCTAATATTTCCATTTGATAAAGAAATAAATCAATCCTTAAAGACACACCAATGAATTGTTTGTGAAAAAATTGTTTTTTTTTTTTAATTGCCCCTTGAGGTATAAAGCTAAGAAGCTTTGTACTTTAGGACAAATCTAGAGTATAATAAAATTTAAAATTTTTGAGATAAAGCAATTATTTATATATTGTTCAAAAGAATATTTTAATACAAATATATGACAAAGATTAATGCTGTAGCTCTTTAATTTCTTTAGATAACGGCTCAGAAATCTAGCAACAAAACGTCAAAGGAGCCAAGTTAGCACATTTTTGGTGCGAGGTACATAACCTCCACAATGCTGTAAATATTTACATCAATAGTACCCATGATCTATTGTAAGAACAAAATATTTGAGACTTGTGATATTTGTATTTTGCACAGTAGGTGTCACCAAACATGAAATCCCAAACTTCAAAAATCAAATGTGCCATTCTGGCACACAAATTTTTTTCTCTTGAACTTTTTTCTTTTTTTTTTCAAAATCTTTTATACCTTTTTTCCTACACATGTTAAGGAGTAACGTGTAAAAAAATATGTTTGGACTTGCGCGCATGGTGTTATCTGAACAGAGCCAGTACACTTTTCCCACCACTTGGGTTTTTGTGGCCACGCCTGTTTATCATTTGTGATCTTAACCTCAATTCCTTATTATGGAGGATTTTTCCGGGGAACAAAGGTGCCCACATTAATGAGACAGGACTGTAAAACGCTCTTTTCGATCCACAAGCCGACTTTCATGCTCGATTGCCACGTCTCGCAAGAGGTCTAAGCATCACCCACCAGTCTTGTCCAGGTGGCAGCGCGGTTTGAGAAGAGCACCGACCGCTCTTGGGTCGAGTCAAGCGGACAGATGCGCAGGGCTTCGGTGTAGGCCTCCAATGCTTCCATGTAGAGGCCCTCCTTGAAGCTGCCATTGCCAGTGGCCTTCAGCTGCTGCGCCCGTTCCCTGCGAGACTAACGACACAAGAGAGAGGGCTTGGCAGACCTGCCCAGATGTGATGCTATAGAGAACTCTTTTTCTTCTTTCTGGCTAGGTCTATTGATAGAAAAGAGGCAGTTGCAGCATACCAGGCAGGGGAAACCCAAGAGAGATGGATCCGTCCAACAAAAAGACCCTCCAGTTGCCGCCATTTTGCGACTCTCGTGGCCCCTGTCGACCATACATTTTCTGTTGCCCTATTGGGTGGGAGAAACATGCTCAGCATGACTCTCCACCTGCATTGTGCATTACCAGTTTGCCGACCTCTGTCGAAAGTCATTACTTCATTTGCCATTCTCAGGCAGTTTACCCTTTTTGTGTTATGCGATAACCAGGGCTCACAGCCAGAGTGTCTCGTATTCAAGCGTATTTGCTTGGCCTTCGTGAGAAACCAACAAAGGGAAGAATGTTAAATCTTTCAACATTTTTTGGAAATCATCTTCGCCGAGATAATCCCCAGAGAGCCTTCTAGGTCTTTGCCAAACATAGCTCATTGGGGTTGGGGTGGGGGACAGGGCAGATGTGTTCATTCCTTTGGTGCTGTGCAAACATCAAGCTCCAAACATTGTCAAATGTTTTCAACAATTTAAGAACTTCATCGGTTGATGCGGCAGAGTGTTTCGCGGTGTAAAAGATCTGCAAAAATGAAACAAACTTTCCAGCTGCATTCATTCAGTCATGTACTGACTCATAAAAAATAGCTTAATATTTTTTAGTGTTGTTCCCAAAAATGATACAATCATTTGTCAAAGGCCCCGAGAAAGTATATCCGCTAAACAGAAAAAAAGAAAAAGAATGCAGCAATTTAGTTTTTAGCAGTGTCTGGAATAGTGCCTAAAAAGGTTGCCACAGCCCACTGGCAAGAAAACTCAGAGCCCAGCGAAGTCAGGCAACACTACGTACACTCAAAAACCAGGGACAAGCTCTGTAGATCGCCTCGTCTGAGGGTGCCGCTGGAAAGGTGTATAGGACGGCACGAATCCTGAAGCTGGCTCCGAAATCGGTTGGGAAAATCCGCACCTGCGCATTGCAATCTCAAATTTTCATTGAAGGTGAACTTTATTAGCGGATTAATTTACCTGAAAAATTTTCAGGTGTAGCTCCCTCCCCACGAAAAATGAGACCAGCAAGCTTGCCACAGTCAACAGTGGATGTCAAAGCAGAAGACTAAGTTAGCGGCAGTAGTACTTGTGGCGTCATCTCCTGATAAGCACAGCGAGCAATCTTACACACTCAAATGGAAGCAGACGATGCACTCAATCAAAAGCAAATGACCTGGTAATGTGTGCTGCTGCGCCTATTAAAGGGGTTATGACACGAAAATTAAACGGATAGATTATTCTTGAAATGGAATGCTCATAGGCTACTTAGTATATACACCAAGTTACGAAATTTTTAGAGCTCTGATAATTGCAATATTCAATTTACGAATTTTTATAATTTTCATCTGGTGACCAGGCAACACTGCTCAAGTTAGTCACACCATGGTGTCCATAAACCACGTGACCATGAACACTCTCTCATTCTAGGCGCCCCCATGAACGCCCAAGCTCTTCTCGTCGCGGTACGAAGAAAACCGCTCGAACAGCTCGGTAAACTGAAAGCTATTCTCGCTCTCGCCCCCCGGCCGGTTGACCTTCCACCCTGCATGCGCCTGCGAGATATTACCGGACGACGGTGACCACGGCGAACTCGTCGTCGCTGGAGCTCGTCGCCAGCGGGTCGCAGTCAAAATGAACAGCTTCCAACATCTCTTGATAGCAATCACTCTCATCGCTGCTGCGATCAATGTCGAACACTTCGACAAGGCGATCGATGCCATAGACGTAATCGTCACAGACCGGATGCTGGAAATGTGGAAGGTAAACGAGGAAGCTGAGAGTTGATATGCCAAGAGGGCAGAGTCTGTGAGTGCGTGCAAGTAGACACCGCGCTGGAGGCTGGCTACGTCATCAGCCTCCAGGTCCGCCCAGATCTGCCCCTCCGAGGGGCCCGCATATAAATTGATTTATCCACGAAATTATTGCGCCTTTTTCAAAACAAATTTCGCAGGATTATAGGAACATACAATGGGTCCTAGCAGTATAGTTATGTAATATTTTATTTTTGGCGTGCCATAACCCCTTTAAGATATGGCCCCCCACAAGTACTACTGCTGTATACACCAACTCATGTTTACAAACAAACCGGAGCACCCCTAGCGGCACGCCACCAGCATGCATGATGGGGTATGGGCAAGAAGCACTGTGTCCTGCATCAACAAACTATTGGAATGTGATGTCGTCGGCGTCCAGTGTGACTCCCTGTGTTCCTTTTCCCGTTAAATTGCTGATTCTGCATCTTCCCAGCAACATTTCACTAGTTTAGTGGCCCGAGTTAAATTAACGAGGTTCGTTACACCGCAAAGCTTTGTGTAAATTATGTGATGCACGGCGATTCATTCCGCATGAACGCCGCAGAATGGACGCTGAAACCTCGTTCAGATGATGAGATTTTGCTCGCTATTTGCTGTCGCGATATCGCTCGTGTTGCAAAAGCGTGGATGATAACTGCGATGCTTGACGTCAATATTGAAAATCGCAAGTAGAATTGGACCAAGTGAATCAGGCATAACAAGTCAGTGATGGCCATTGGTAACACTGGTCAATATCTCCTTGCATCTGCTGTTTACATCGAGCTTACTTACCCCAAACAACCTTCAAATTTACAAGTCGTTTGAGGCCTGCACTTCATCTTATCGCAATGTGTGGTCTACTGGCTGCTGCCCTTTGAACGAGTTTGACAGAGCAGCTGACAGTTTGAACGATCAGACGGCAGTTTGAATGTGAAGACACGCTGTATGTGGCCCTCGAGTGGTCTGGACAACTTGACGGTTTTCCTGCGTTCATGTCGGAACGAAACAAATAAATCTGACAACCACAAGTAGCCGTGAATTCAACCCTAAGTGCTTCCCGCACAAGCAATTGTGGTCCCAGGGTGTTTGGTTTCCCTTTTCACGGCACCAATCCACGTTCTCGGATGAACCTAGGAGGCAGAAAGCACATGAAGACTGACCTTCACAGCTCTCCCAACTCTTTTGGTACAGCCCCAGTCACGGCGTTTCAATGAGAAGGCAGGTTTTATTCTGGTTTCTTCCAAAACATCATAGTAATGCTTGTCCCGCATGGTGACTTCCGCCCACATCCCCAGGCCGGAAGTGCACTTGACGCGCCACCACCATAGCGTAACAGAGTTGGGTTGGTGTATACCACCTCTAACTCAATCATCTGCATCGACATCCGCCGTTGACTATGGCAAGTTCGTTGGTCGCAATTTTTAAAGGAAGAGAGTTATCTTGGGAATTACACAAGGCACCACCAAAATACCCTTTTGATAAAAATTCTAAATTGCTATGTGCAGGTGCCGATTTCCCCAGTTGATATTAGAGCCAGCTACGAGATTTATCCCACGCAACATTATTTTTAATGACGCTGCATGACCAAGTTGTGCGAGATTCATTCCCAGCACCCCGCAATTGGTTGCACAATATATGCCTTACACGTGACATTGTATGGCACCGTACCAGCTGTGTCCATACCTTCAGCAGCAAATACTTGGCACAATCAAATTTGTTCTTCTCGACAAGTCTCGCCAAGAACGAATTTGATGGTGCAAAATATATGCTGCAGAATGTACGGACACAGAAGCATGGTACGGAGAAATGGCGGCTGATGAGACGTCAACGCAAGCCATGTATTGGAATGAAAGTGGGCTCAAAACTTCCTCCACAATATCGCGGCACCTGATCGCCTCCTGCGAAGTAGCACCTGTTTTCTAGCCCAACTGTTGTTTCGTAAAAAAATATCCTACCCAATTAAAAAAAAAAAAGGACTTATGAATTATAATTCCAAGACGACAACGAAGGAGAGGAAGACCAGAAGTCTCAAAACTTCCTCTCCCTTCATCGTCTTTCTCCCTAATCTCTGGGTTAAAGTTTATCATGTTTAATCATCACCAGCTTGTTTCCACCCCAACATTGTGTTCACTTGTTGCCATTTTTTATTTTTGCGTTAAACCGCGGCGCCTTTTTCCCAGCCCCGTGACGTCGGGTGAAGAGCGTAAACACGGGGATAGCACGCCGTCAGCCACGTAGCTTTTTTAAGCCATCCCCCTCGCCAATTTCCTTTTCAAACATTAACCACACGTGACCACTGAATGGTGCATGGTTGCATTTACGACTAAGTGGCACCAGGTTCTATTCATGATCGCAGCAGCTAACTATCTGCTGCCTTTATTTGGTCGTGCAACAATAAAATCAAGAAATTACGTATTTTTTACATTCTGTTACCATTGTGCCAATGGATACCAGCATTCTGAAGATGTGCGCGACTTCATTCAGCTTGAGAAATATGTTTTGTATCGAAAGGAATTTTTCGACAGACATCATTTTGTGCACGCCCGCGTGAAATAATGCGTCGCAACCAAAATTTAACCATGCAGTCAAGTTTGACTAGGGTGTTTTAAGAATAAGTATTGTTGCCAACGTTGGATCAACTTAATTCGACTTGGCAGGGGCACACCTGGCTTGACTGTCTAAGTCATCAGATTTGAAGCGAACGAAACTACTTCGATGAAACCCATTCACTGTTGCAACAACGGGCCGAAATCTATCATCTGAGCAGCACGGTGGCTCTTGGTAATCTAAAAGAACCGATTCTAGTTCACGTCACTGCGAAGTTCAGGGCGTAATCCAAGATGGGCATGCCGATGAACAAAACTCTCCGCGGAAGGTTTCTGCAGTCGTTCACACTGCAAAGCTCCATGTTGCTCTCGGCAACGTTACACACTTTCGTTTATTCACACAGCTCAGCGTCTCGGCTTGTCCTTTCGTCGTGTTCCATCGTCCGCCCATCAGGGTCGCGCCGGTCCTGCCATCCCGCTGCTCTCATTAAACCTACCAGATGGAGCAGGCACAGCATTCTGGCACGCACAGCTGGCATATCGCGCTCCGCGTCCGCTCCTCAAGTTTTGTTTGGCAAAACCTCCCAGACGCACAACGGATCGCGACGAGCTGATCGAGGTCCTTGTCTGCTCCTCAGGCCCTTACCCGCCCCGACTTTGCTACGCTCAACGTAAACCCTACCGGATGGAACCAAGCAACGCTACAGCCGCAGCCCATGGAACCAAACACCCAACTCGCATGTGACAGGGTCACGTGCACCCCACATGGGTGCAAGGATATAGTTTTATGTATGGGCATCAAAACAGTTATGTGATGCCCTCCCCGTGAGCGTCAAAGTGCTGTTGGAACAGCTGGCATCCATACTTCCATCCCTTTCAACGCCATGCTCAGCTCTCAGCCAATCTCTCTGTGTCTAACCAGAAACTTCAATCGGGAGTCACAACCAGAGGTCGGCATTTTAAGTCGCCCTCACTCACCCTCACCCTCGCACAGGCACGTAGCCAGGATTTTGTTTCGGGGGAAGGGGGGGGGGGGGGGGGGGCTTATGACAAAATGCTGTATGAGGGGGAGGGGGGAGAGGAGGCCCCAGCAAAATGGCAGATTTCGGGGGGGGGGGGGGGGGGGGGGGGCCCAGGCCCCATGGTACCCCCCCCCCCCCCTGGCTACGTGCCTGCCCTCACAGCCACACTCACCTTCAGCCACTCACTCACCCTCATAGTCACATTCAACTTCAGACCTTCACTCACCCTCACTGCACCTCACCGCCCTCGTACCCCTCATGCACTCGTGGCCCTCACGGACTCGTACCTTTCACGCACTCGTGGCCCTCACGGACTCGTACCTTTCACGCACTCATGGCCCTCACACCCCTCACGAACTCATGGCCCTCATGCACTCATGGCCCTCATGGCCCTCATGCACTCATGGCCCTCATGCACTCATTGCCCTCACGCACTCATGGCCCTCACTCACTCGTGGCCCTCAAGGGCCTCACTCACCTGCAAAGATGAGGGTGAGTGAGGGCCCTCATGAGTGAGGTTCGCCGAGGTATGGTCGCAACGAGAGCATACCGTACCGCTTTCTCCTCTTCCGTCATGTCTTTCTCCAGCTCGACGAGTTTCTCCTCGTCGACAGCGTACAGGTCTTCAGCGTCGCTGTCCACCTCGGCTTCATATCCAGCCTCGGGAATCGTTGCGTCGTTGTGGCGCTCACTTTCGGCGCTGGGGCAGTCCGGTTTCCGCCTCGTCCCACTAGCCTTGTCGTCAGAAGCTGGTGCTGTGGTGCGGTCATCGCTCCGACCGTTATCCCGAGTGCTGGAATCCATCAACGATCCCGACCTGCAACAGAGTACCACGAGCTCACTCGAGAAGCGGCGTCAAAGCGAAAACGAAAGTACCAAACTCAGTCAAACATTATGTTACGATTGGTCGATGCTTGGCCTTTTTAGTAGACGTAAAAAGCGATAGGCAGAATTAAGTTGAACCCTACGTGGAAGTGCATGAGCCGCGCTTAAATCCTGTTAGAAGTGGACATGAGCAGGCAGTTTCATTCAAGTTTCAAGCGAGCTCCATAGCAAGTGCGGGGAGCTGACGTCCGCAGGAAACACTCGGGGAATCACAAATCCATACCTTAAGAACTCGCGTCGTAAAAGGTAGAATTGAGAAAGATCACGATGACAACCCGCTTCGTCGCTTGACGCGCGACAGAGCGTACACAAAAGAGCAACTGCACAACCTGCGGAGTTAAACAGAGCAGTCCAGGGGCAGTCTAACAACTGTCTAACATCGACAGAGAGATGAATGAATGGATAAATGCTAAGGGCTGAACCCAACGACCGCACGAGCGATAGGTTGCGCCACCCAAATACCGGGTGAAACAAGGAGACGGTAGGCTCTTTAAATCGACCGGAAAATTCGGTTTCTTAACCTATCGCGCTACGACTTTGCGCAGCGTTGCCCACACATGGTGCATTTTTTTCGTAAAATTTGCAAAGAGCGGACTTACCTGAGGAAAAAGTAAAGAAAGAAAAAGGCTTAGCTCCTATGGAAACGCAGCGACGCCACCGGTCTGCAATCAACACGGCGCCGTTTTGCACGGTAGACAAGAGATGGCGCAAGGGGTCGCGACGCCAACTGCCGCCAACGAACGAGCAGACGACGCCGAGAGCCGGCGTAATTAGCAGACAAGGAACTGCAGTTCCTTGTTACCGCGCCTGTCTTTTTTTGTTTCTGCGACTGTCGCCGCCTGCGGAACGCGCGCCGCTTTTGAGTGGAAAAGATCGTCTGCTAAAGAGCCTTTGAGGAATACCTCGGCCGGCTCTCGGCGCCCGTATGCTCGTTCGTTGGCGGCGTTCGTTGCGCCATCTCTTGTCTACCGTTCAAAACGGCGCCGCGTTGATTGCAGACCGGTGGCGTCGCTGCGTTTCCATAGGAGCTAAGCCTTTTTCTTTCTTTACTTTTTCCTCAGGTAAGTTCGCTCTTTGCAAATTTTACAAAAAAAATGCACCATCTGTGGGCAACGGTGCACGAAGTCGTAGCGCGATAGGTTAAGAAACCGAATTTTCCGGTCGATTTAAAGAGCCTACCGTCTCCTTGTTTCACCCGGTACAAACCTCCTTGTAGAAATAACCACTGATCAGTGGGTTCGACGGATTGGATTGGATTGGATTGGATTTGGGGCTAACCCCTTTGTATCGGGGGATCTCAGCAGCGCTGGATCTAGCCTGGCTAGTAGCTACACTAGCCAAAAACGTAGTTGTGTTCTTTTGCTCTCCTCCACCAATACTCCAGTCTCCTCTTTGTCACCTCCACTGGCTGCGAGCTATCGGCGTCGTACTGTTCGTCAACGCCCCGGAAACCCAGCGCCACCGCCATGTCTGGTTCGTACGTCACGTCCGGCTTTATACCCGTGCATTCCAGTACGACGTGTTCCGCCGTCTCGTCTGCTCCCTGCGCGCACATGACGCACTTTGTGGACACTGTGGCCAGACCTTGATACAAGCATGTCTAGGTTTGGAGAATTTTTTTTTATGCAAAAAGTTATTTTATTTTATGAACAGTTGCAATTAAAAGAAACCAATTCTAATCACTGAAGAAGTTAATAACTTATTTTTTTGTACTGTATTAACTGAAATAACCAATCAGCGCTTCCCTTGATTCATCCCTTAGCCATCACCATCCAATCCGAAGCCAACTGGCCAGCCAGTCGCGCATGCGCACACGAGTCGAACCGCAATACAAGGTTCGTCGAATTTTGCACTAAAAAGTCGAACCTGGTCGAACTCGAACCTCGTCCGGTTCGCGACGAGGTTACAGAAGCCGGATCGTCATGTTGTCGGCATACCTCGGCATTCTCACTCATGAGTGCGATCACTCACGATCACTCACGCTCACCGTCAGATTTGAGGTGATCGTGAGTGAGGCCGCGAGTCTCGAAATATTGTGAGTGTGAGTGTGAGTGTGATCGTGAGTTACGTGAACTTATGAGTGTGAGTGTGAGTGTGAGTCCTAGGAACTGATGAGCGTGAGTCTGATCGCGAGTGTGATCGCGAGTTCTGAGAACTAATGAGTGTGAGTGCGAGTGTGAGCCCTGCGAGCTCATGAGCGTGAGTTTGATCGTGAGTGTGATTGTGAGTTCTTAAAACTCTTTGAGTGTGAGTGCGAGTGTGAGCCCTGCGAACTCATGAACGTGAGTTTGACCGTGAGTGTGATTGTTAGTTCTTAAAACTCTTGAGTCTGAGTGTGAGCTTGAGCGCTAAGTGAAGTACTCATGAGTGTGAGTTTTGAGGTCTCTTGAGTGTGATTGTGAGTTTCGAGGCTCATGAGCATGAGCCTGAATCAAGACGTGAGTCTTTGGGTGGATATGAGTCCGGTGATCGCATTAGTCTGCGTGATGGCGTGAGCATGAGGACCATGGCCAGGATGAGTCGCGGTGAGCGCTGGTATATTCTTAGCTGGGTTGGTCACGTGAGCTCCCGGGCCGTCTTAGTGGGCGAGTAGACTCTCGTTTCGCAACTACTCCGTGGAGTTCTGGCCTTCAGGGTTGGTTTGGGTGTCGCTCGCATGCTCCTTCGCCATGTGAACGCGCCGGTTCCTGTGGAGGGCGGAGGAGGGAAGGGGGGGTGCTTGTTCTTGCAGGCTCCTCCTTGCCAGCGCCCTCCGCAATGTCTCAACCCGCTGTAGAGGGCAGAGGGGGTATGAGGAAGGGGGGGGGGGGGGGGGGGGGTCGCTTTCGTCTCTCCTCGGCGTTCGCTCTTCGCTTCCCAGCAGACGGCGAGACGCCAACGGACTGACGGCGCCTCGAGGCGGCGCGGTAACGTCGGAGTTGGGGAAGCGCTCCAAACGGCTAGCGCTCCTCTCTCTGTGGCATAGAAAGGTTCGTGTGTATTTCGGTTCCTGTTGTCAAGTTGGTGTCAGTGGGCACAGACTTTTATGATTGCGTCAACTATAACGTTCGCACAGCTGCAATAACATTAAATGACTCGCATGATCCTCATCAGCATCCGGAATTTTATTTCTCCGCGTACCTCAACGTACCTTTCGCAATGAGTCATCACTCAGGAAGTGCGACAAAGGCGGTGTCATGATCGATCGAAGCTTCGAGTGAGGTCTTTCACATTGTGCGATATCATGCTTTTAAGTGTTGTTTGGGGGCAAGATGGCGCAAGTGCATGACAGCCAGCCGGCAATGGCCAGGCGGCGCCACGAGAGTGCTGCATTCGGCGCCACAAGCGGAGGGGTCTCTCTTAATGGGTCGGCCAGTGGCTAGTCTGCCCGTCGGGCCGTGGCGAGCGGCGGCGAACCCGATTTCAGCAGTCCTCGTGTGCACGTGCGCGCCATGTCCCTTTTTTATTTTATGTGGTTTTTTAAGACCATCGGGAGCCTTGATAGGTCCAAGTGTTGAGAGCATAATCTGGAGCTGTCATTTGGACACCTGTTTGAACTGTCTTCGTGCGCTTGCGGCGTCGCTCTATAATAATCGCCGCCCGATCGGTCTGTGATTCGCTCGTCTCCCAGGAAGTGACACAACGCAACGAGAAGGCAGCGAATGGGTTTACTGTACATCCCGGTTGCCCGTCTTCGAGAGCCGGCAGTCCGGACCCGCCGACCCTGGTTGTCGCCCGTCGTTCATAGCTGGCAGTCGGAGTCCACGCCTGCGGATCGTCCTTCCCACGCACTGCGTACGCTAGCTGTTCCGGGCTATCACAGCCAGAGTTTCGCTGCAGAACCACTCCTGGACCGCAATGGACTAGGCCGATAAGGCCAGGCTTGCCGTTTCCGCCGGTCCTGATCCGAAGCTCGCTGGTGGAACGATCCGGGGACCGACCTGGGCCGGACCAGCCAGAACGGCTCTATCGTTCATGCCCGGCCCCAGCCTCGTGCAGCAGGCTCTTCCTCTTTCCTCGCCGGCTGGCCCCCGCTCGCGCCTTGCTCGACCGTCCTCTTCTTCTCCCGGCGCCCCCACGACACTAGAATAAATTGTGGGTAATTAGAACCAAACTCTCCGTGCTAGAGAACAGTGCACAAGTCTGGCGACAGGCAAAAAAGTGTGCGTGTGAGAAGGATATTTACGCTTCGCATGAGCTTTTTCTAGAAAAAAAAAAAAATTGCATACTCTTTTCTGCACGCCGTCACATTTGTTACATGACTCAGCATTAAATTTGGTAGCCGAAACAAACAAAAATTTGTTCTACGAAAATCCACTATTTAAAAACTTGCATGCTTAAAAGGCTTTGGTTGCGACCGCGCGTGCCGAACGGCGCGCGCGGTCGCAACCAAATGCACGCCTACAACTACGAGTGCCGGAACAGGTCGAAGGGCACCTCGCTTGAAGGCCTGATCGCCTGTATCTCGACGTCAAAGCGAAACAACAATCGGCCCAATTTTTCCTACTGTATTTCTCTAAATGGTCGTCTCAGAGACTCGTAAAAAAACTAGTATAAATACGTTATTTTGCAAAAGGAGTCTTTCAGACCACTTTCCAAGCCTGCACATCTATTTTCGTTCACTTCAGCAATTAATGTAAAATTCACTTACTTGATGCATCGCACTCCAGTAATCCACCTTGTCGCCGTGTCGCTTACCAAGGTCTTAAAGGGAAGCGGTAAAGTCTGACGCTTGGGTCATCTGCACGACCGTGGCAGTCTTTCACGCAGCAGTAGCGGCGTTTATTTTTGGGGGAAACTCTAGGCTTAGGGGAGATGTCACAGGAACCCGGAAAGGTCATAGAGACGTGAAGTTGAGACTTAATTTTATGAAAAAACAGTTCCAAAAAGGCTCACGCCGATCCAAAATGCCAGGTTCACACGTGGTTTCTAAATGCGCCCGCCCACACTCCT